CACAAGGGTGCTAGCCTCATAGCATAATGGTTAAGTGCTGTGCAAAGGATGCTATATACTGTGTGACTGACTAGGGTTTGAGTCCTGGCCTCAACAGTTTGATAACCACATTGAGTGTGCACACATGTGCCAAAGATCCTGAAGGGATGGATAATTGAATTGGAGAAAAAAGGATGGTGGCATTACCAAGCCCTGTTGGGGAAGGGAGGAGTGTATTCTCTCTCTCTTTCAGTCTCAATCTTTCTCTCTCTCCCTGATGTGCCCTTTGGCTTTAAAAAAAAATGAAGAAGAAGAAGAAAAAATAAACCACAAGGATTTCCAGATTTCCTACAGAGTGCCATTAACTAACTAAAATTTAAAATATGCTGTTTTACTTGTGAAGAAAATCTTATAAATACATATCATATGGTTAAATAATCATATTGATAAATTATCATTGAAATGATTTAGTTTTTCTTATCCCCTCCCTCATTTTAAGGGGGGCAAAAGGTGACTAGATATAAATAATGTATTAAAGAATGTAGTTATATATAACTAATCCTCAAGCCTTTATTAAAATAATTGTCAAAAAAATAGGAGAAAGGCCATCATGATTTATTTAATTTCTTGGATAAAAAGCTTTACTTCAGCATTAAATACAAATTCATTTGCTATGTGAAAGAGTAATTCTATTATGGTTCCCAGCTTTATCCTGATTCCCTCAACTGTGGACTCTAGCCACAAACCAAGAATTTTTAAATTTCCATTGGTACTAATAGTCAAACACTGTTTGCTTCATCCAAAATATTCTATAACCTTTTTTCAAAAATAATTATTTTTTATTGCACTTTATTTATTAGTATTATTTTCCAGTTTGATTAGAGAGAGAGAGAGAGGGAAAGTGAGAAAGCAAGCCACCAGGTCAAGGACTTGAACTGCCATCTGCCATGTGGAAGTCCAGTGCCTTTAACACCACTTGCTGGCCCCTAACCATTTCTTTAAAAAATAATATTTTTTATTTAACTTTATTTATTTTAATTTGACCAGAGAGGGACAGAGAGAGAGAGAGAGAGAGAGAGAGAGAGAGAGAAAGTGAGAAAAAAAGCCACCAGGTACGGGATGCAAACTGTGGTCAGCAATGTGGGAGTCCAGGGCCCTTAACAACCATGCCACCTGCCAGCCCCCTCTATAACATTTTTAATAGTAATCTATTATATTTTATCTGATTTGGTACTTTGCAATTTAAAAATTCTGTTTAAAGTCTAACTGTGTCCGGCAGCAGTTGGCGTAATGGCTACGTTGCTGGACTCCCATGTAGTCCACCGCTATTTGAGTCTCGGTTCCCGGTGGCTTAAACTCATGCCCGACACTTGGTGTGCATGCATGCCCAAGATCCTAAGAGGAGAATGGAGAAGAAGGGATTGCGGCATGGCCATCATCCCTGGGGTGGTGATTTCTCTCTTTCTATCTCTCTGTCTCTCTCTGTGTTTCTGGTGAGCGTACCCACCCTATAGCAAAAACCTTTTCAAAAAAATAAAAAGTCTAACTGTGATATATGGGACTGAATAAGTTCCTTTTGAATACGTGCAATCACTGCTTGTCTATATTTAGAGTTTATTCATTCATTCCCTATGCTACTATAGGAGGGTTATGTCAAATCCTTGAAAAGAATATCAGGAAGACATATTTGTGACAAGATAGAGCATATAAAGGTACTTGAGAAAAGTATTTGTCTTATATTTGAGTCAGGCAAATTAATCAAATGAATTGGCTAGATATTATTTATTAACTAGTTGTACTTTAGCACAATATTAAATAATAAGATTTCCTAGCCCAATGCCCCCCCCCCAAAAAAAAAAAAAAACCCTGAGCTGCTTGAATTCATTTTATAATTGAAGCAAGGCTAGATAATATCTGAGAATTCAGCTGTGTCATGATGGTTATGAGTGGTACAGTAGGTACACTACACAATTTCTCTGAAGCCATTTTTTTTTTTTTACCTGAATGTAGTTTATTTTGAAAGATGTATTAGTTTGCCAAGCAAGTCCTTCAAGTGGAATATCCTTGGTACCACACTGAGGAAATGAAGTTTGGGGACATAAAAAGCAATATACCTTCTGAACTAAAAGCAAAATAGAAAATGGAAGAGCTTTCTTGTTTATGCACAAAACCATAAATAATTCCAGGCCTATGTGTACACAAAGTTACCTGGTCCTCTAACTTTCTCTCACCATCCTTAACTACATGTCTTTCAGAGGATAAAAAGTAAAGGAATTAAAAGTAGTTTACACTCTGTAAGTTACCTAAGACAATATCAATCAGAATTGCTAAATAAAATTTTGGTTAACTCATATCAAGGAAAAGATTTTCAAAATAATGTTGATATATCTTAGTCTTTTAAACATCTATGGATTGCAATGCTTAGAACAGTATATTTTATCAAGTAGACAGTAAATAAATGTTTATTGAATTGAATTACGGGGCAATTTTTACACATAGTATGAGTCTAAGATTAAAAAATAGCACAGTTTAGATCTTTAAAAGTAAAATCTTTGCTAAAATATATTTACTTAGGTATATGCTGGAATTAAATTCATTTCTGCATTAATTTTGCTCTGCTGTTGTTGTAGTGCAAGCAGTAGGCAGTAGGACACTGCTTTGTGATATATGGGAAAGTCCTATCATCAAATCCTGGTTGATCAAAACTCGGCAGGTCTGCCCATGGGTTGTTTATGATCCCTGCTGGTTGGAAGGCTTGGAGAGTGGCAGTCATGTTGTGGTGAGGCCCTGTTTAGGGCGTCTGTCTATTTCTCTCTCTCTCCCTCCCCCCCTTTCTTTCTCATGAAGGGAAGGAAGACACTTTAAAAAACAATTAATTCGCAGTAAATATACCCAAATGTTTGTAAACTTTTAAAAATATCTCAACAGCTTACAGTGAGGACAATTTCAGAAATATATAGAATCATCTGCACTAATGAAAAAGACTCCAAACTAGAGAGACATGTAGCCTCTGTTGTCCACCCTCATCAACACTATTAGTATATTCTTCTTAAAAATATGTATTTATAGGGACCAGCAGTTGGCATAATGTCTATGTCACTGGACTCCCATGTAGTCGACCACGGTTCCAGCCCCAGACAGGGTAGCTTAAACTCACCCCAGTCCCAGCCCCAGACAGGGTAGCTTAAACTCACACCAGTCGCGTGTAAATGCGTGCCCATGATCCGGAGAGGAGAATGGAGGAGAAGGGATTGTGGCATGGCAATCCCCCCGGGGGATGATTTCTCACTTTCTCTCTCTCTGTTTCTCTCTGTCTTTCTGGGAGTGTATGCATTTTCTATAGCAAAAACCTCTCCCCCCAAAAAAATATATGTATTCATCATATGATTCCCATATCAAATATCTTTGTTATCTCCCTGAGTTTTTGGAATTCATCTTAAACTCCTTAGCATTCTCATTCTGTTTCTAACTCCCTGGCTTGCTTTCTTCCTGTTCCCTTTGGTGAACTGAGTGAATTGGTGTCTTAATTACATTTTAGCTTTTTATCTCAGCTGGCCTCAGAATCATTTCAGCAGTTATACCTACTCCCATTTAGTGGCCTTTCATCTTTCCATAGTGACTAATACCATATCCTACCCAATTTCCTCAAGTCTTTTCTCTGTCTCTTTCCAATTCTCTTCACTTACCAAAGGCAATCTAACCTCTTTTATTTATTTATTTATTGTCATAGGACACATGAAGTT